GATCCAGGGACTCCAGGATCATGACCTGAGCCGAAGGCCGTCGCTTAACCAACTGAGCCACCCAGGCGCCCCTCTCTCAGAATCTTAACAGAAGATCCCTACAGTTTCGGTTGGAGCCCATTTCTCTGTCTTTCCTCAGTGATAGGAAAATAATTGTTTCCCATCATCTTCAGTGTAGATGCTCTCACTAGAGTGAACAATTGCTACACCTCAGACGGCGCTGCTGGGTGGAGACACAGACACGTTCCTGAACTTTGCGGATAGATTCTATTTAAACTATTTTGTGTCTTTGTCAGGCTATGCACATGAAGTTTTAGTTTGGAAACTATGACCATCGTGGTTCTAGCTTCTCCCACATGCTTCTTGCTTATTCCGGGATTTGTTTCATTTTCTGTCTTGGTTCATTCTCTATCCTTCCCTATGAAAATGAGGCTTGCCCGCTTCCTTCATGTTGACCCTGGGCTTATCAAGTATCTTTATGTTTTGGGTGGTTTTGTCCCACTTCCCTTGGCATCTTGACAGTGAGGAACTGCAGAAGCAGGGAAGGGACACTTCTGCACACCCTCCAAGCTGGGAGGATGGCTGAAGAGGCTACTTACTGTCTTCCCTTGTTGTTCTAAAGTCTCTCACCCTGACCATGGGGAGAGGAGAGCAGGCAACCTCTGGCAGCTCTACGAACCATTTCGGAAAAGAGAGTATGCTTCTTGTCTTAGTCAGTTGGGACTGCTATGAGAACACCATAAATTGGATTGCTTGACCAACAGACATTTCCTTCTCACAGTTCTGGAGGCTGGAAGTCCAAGATCAGGTGGCCCCATGGTGTGGTTCTAGTGAGGGAGCTCTTCCTGGTTTCCTCACTTGGGGGAGAAAGAGAGCGAACGAGCGAGAGCGAGAGCAAGAGAGCACAAGTGAGTGAGCTGGGGTCTTTTCATCCCTTTATAAGGGCACCACGCCCACCATGGAGGCTCCTTCCCCATGACCTCATCCAAACCTGATCACCTCTCCAAGACTAAAATACCCCCCAAACCTAATTACCTCCCAGTCTCCAAATACCATCACTGTGGGTGATATGCTTTCAACATAGGCATTTTGGGGGACACGCTCAGTGCATAGCAACTTCCTGCCTATAGTTTTTATCTTCTAAGCTTTCCCAGAAGCTGAATTCAGTCTTACTTACTAGGTTAGACTGATGGGCGCAGGACCAGCTGCCTTTCAGACCAGCATGACACTTCTTTCTGCTCCATGGTGAGCATCCTCCAATGGCTGAGATAACAAAGGGAAGCCAGACGCCTGGGATGGGACAATAAATCCAACTGCTTGTTTGTCGCCACACCCACACCCGTGGGATCCGTCACACGAATGTCCTTTTCTCCACACACAGGGCTCAGAAACTCCTGGCAAGGACCATGTCCCAGTGCTTCTTCAGCACATTTTGTGTAGTTACGTGCATGCTTTCGTAGAGTACCTGCAAGTGGGCTTGCTCTGAATCTAGTTGAAATCAGATAATTAGTTTACAGACAGAAAATATATACTGTTTTAATTTTCCCAACTTGAGTAAGGATTGCTTTGGGAGTTGTGTGCAGCATGCTGTAAAAATAACTCCTTTTAATTATATTTATTTACTTAATGAATCACACCAATAGTAGGTAAGTGGAGTGTTGAGGCAGCCCGCAGAGTTGCCCAAAAGTGTCATTTGTCCCATGCCTTCTGATTTATAATGTAATTTCACATCCAGTCTTATCTTCTGTTTGCAGGGAACTTTTCTAGGTTGCGTACACCTAGTAAGAGGCAATGCTGGGTCTCAGTTTTGAATCTTTGGGCTTCATGTCTTGTGCTCTTTCCACACGTTCACTGGGGACATCATACAAGGGAGTCAGGAGAGCCTGACTCTTAGTAGCCATGTGGCCCTCGGGGGCCACTTCACCTTGCTCAGCAGCAGTCAGTGAAGGCTCCACAAGTTGCCTGAGATAGGAGGTGATCAACCTGAGACTGCCTTGGAGAGTGTGAAGTGATCCTTCCGTGGCCCAGGGCACCTCCTGATGCATAGGTTAAATGGGAGAGGGCATGATTACTATTGTTCTTATTAGTAAATGCAATTGGCAGCTGCTTCTTGGCATATGGCCCAGATAGAAAAGCACCTGGAAGCTGATCTTCCTGAACTCTTGATCCCCCTTCTCTGTTCTTGTCCCCTCCCATTGAACCTCTCACCACATAACATACAATTTCCTTATTCATTATGTCTATCGCCTATCTCTCCCTCCACTAGAATGGCAGTTCCAGGAGGGATGGGTTTTTTGTCTGTGTGATCCTGAGGACTGCTCAGCATCTAGAAGTGTCTGGTACATGCTGGTCACTTAATAAGTATTTGTTGAAATAAATAAATCTCTTGCTCTGCAGATCACTCCAGTGGTCTCCTTACTTATGCAAACAGGGGCTTCAGGGAGGGGGCAAGGCAGAAGTGGATCAGCTTGCCTAGGAGACCTGGGCCTTTCTGTAAGTCAGGGAATGAGACCCAATTCCCTTTCCTAGGTTTGAAGTTGGGACACCCGTGGGGATCTCCAAGGGACCCATACTTGGGCTCAGAGCAGGAAGAGTGCTAAGGTCACTGACTTGGGTGGGCGGACAGGGCTTTAGGTTGTTGAACTGGGTGTAACATAGAGGTTTAGAAAGTTGTGAGGAAGGTGGTTTCAGCACAACATGGGATGGATTTTAGAAGGGCCTCCGGTTCCCAGCACCCTTGGCATCGTTTCTCTTTGAGAACAGTGACTGAGCAGAATATGGTGTCCAAAGCTGTACCAAGGTGATAACTTTTGTCCTGGGCATCCCAGCAACAGTGAACTGCTATCTTCCCTCAGCTGGTGGGAAGGGAAGGCAGCAATGGATGAACATGACCGTGTTCTTTCTGTTTGGTGTTTCGGCTCTCTTTGGGATGAGTTCAGGACACAGGGTTACTGAGAAATTGGGGGTGGGTGGGTTGAGGAGCCTCAAGAAGGGATTACTGAACTCTCTGCTAACAGGGCCTAAGAAAGTTCAGGTAATTAATTTGAAAAATAAAGCAAATGTGATCATATTTGTGCCATAAGTTGATTAGGCAGGTTGTACCATTTCTTCACATAGGTAGCAATAAATATATAGTTTTTGTTTGACTATTCTTTGTTCCCCCAAATTTCTTCTTTAAGTGTGTGTGTGTGTGTATATATATATATATTTTAAATCAAATACATCATTGTTTCCTTTTCTAAACCATTATGGAGTTTAACATAGAATTTTACAGTTTCTTTTAGCGAGAAAGAAATACCACTTATTTTCAAGTTTGCCTCAACTGTCACTATGTTCCCAACCCTCATTTATACGTTTGAGCTTTATACATGTACACACACACACACACACACACACACACACACTCGGTGTGTTCAGCCATCACCAGGGCAGTGTTTATTTCTTAAAATAAATTAATTAGGAAAAAGTGCCAGTTGCCCTTTCACACAGGATATACTTCAGATTATGCTTTTTACTGGAGAAGATGCAGGAATCCCGTTTCCGAAATGTGCCTATACGGCTGCTTCCCACAGAACTGTGCATGTCCTGCTTGGCTCACTTGGTTGGGGGGGGGTGTCCTACTTATAAATACATATGTTTAAAAATGTACCGCCCCTCACCCCAGGAGAGGCATGATAGATAAAATTTCTTCCCCCTAGTGGAAACCACTATTTACCATTCTTTGAGTATCTGGGTCTCCTTCTTGCTTTTCCTCTTTTGAATGGTGAGAGAGAGAGAGAGAGAGAAAGAGAGAACAAATATGAATTTTTGACTCCTAGCCCTCTTAAAACTGCTGACCCCTCAAAAGGGTCCCATTTCTTGTGGCAAATAGCCATGATAGCTCTGAATAAAAGGTCCAATAGAAAGAACAGCTGTTAGCCCGATGACACCAAGCACTTGCCAGCCAGGTGCTTACTTCCAGCAGAAAAGCAGGGTGAGGAGGAGGTGGGAGAGGCAGGGGTGGGGTGCGGGGGTGGGTGCTGTGGCCAGCCAGGGCTGGAGAGCTGTGCTCCCCAGTTCCTTCCCACCTGCAGAGTGTTCAGAATCCACGTGCACGCCAAGATCTCCATCCCAACTACACTTCCCTTTGTTGCCCAGATAGGTCTGACCATTAAAAAACGTGACTCGAGGGAGACAAGGCGATATCCCAGAAGCCTTAACTACCTTTGGGAGCTCAGACTCTTCACGTTATCTTGTTTAAGTAGAATCCTAGGTGGCAAGTGTTGAACTAAGGGGAAATCATTTAGCAAAGGCAAAGGAGAAACTGACCAAAGGGTGCTCTAAAGAGGAGTAGTGGTGGGGAGGGGATAAAGGGCAAGGTTTGCCCTCTTCTTTTCTAGAATGTTCTCCCCTCTCCAGTTTCACAGCACTAAGTTGGCCTTAGCCCACCAGTTGTCCTAGTGGGCAGGACTCTTGCATCTGCCCTCTGTACGTCCCAGAGCTGCTTTATTCTGAGGCCTCCCCAAGGCTTTAAAAAAAACAAAACAAAACAAAACCAGCCGCTGCATCTTTAATGACCAAATTAAAGAGAAAAGATACTTTGTTGTTGTTGAATACATACTGTATTTAACTTTTTTTAATCCCAGAGAAGTGAAATGCAACATCTGTTTGAGTTTATGTAATATCCAAAGACTGACGACTCAGAATTTCCTAATTGAAGTCATTTTTAAGGCACTCTGCAGAGCCAGCTTTCGTCTCTTCCTTGGGTGGCTTTTTCTCCAAACTGCAGCAGAATACCCGGTTTCTCTTTCTTCCAAGCGATACACACATGCTCATGCTTTTCACCTGCTCTTTGTCCAGACAACACCGAAAAACAGCACAATTCCAAACGGGAAACAGTGAAGGAAGGAAATACATCTGTTGGAGGGCACGGGGGGAGGGGGGCACAGAGAGGACACTTTTGAGTAAATTAACTGATGGGGTGGTAGCAGAAAAGAGAAGGAGCAGCAGGGAAATGGAACAGGGTGGGGTGGGCCAGGTGGCTGGCAGCCAGTGAAATATAGGCTACATTTCCCAGTGAGGTTTAAATTAATTTAGCTGTTCCTTCTTCTTTTTCTTCTTCTTCTTCTTTTTTTTTTCATTTGTAAAATTCGGGCCAATATAAGGGAGGAGTGTCAACATTCTGGAAAGTGTACATAGGTAAGTGTGCTTGCTTGTGCTCATGTACTTATGAAGGGTTGATCTTAGAGATAAGTGTGGTTGGGGGGGCTCTAAAAAGCTCCCCTGATAAAAAGTAATCTCCCTTACTGGCCCACTGCTGTGCCTGAGATACCCACTGTTAGAGCCACTCCTTCGGATTAAGGCATTATCTGTAGCCCCAATTAAAACATGAATGTCACCTGGGAGGGGTAACCCTCAACTCTTTAGCACCCACTGACTGAACTGTCTGTCACCTATCAGAGAGTAGGACCCTGAGAGATGGGACATAGGGCAGGGACATTCTGACTAATGGGGAAAGAAGGCTTGGTGGTATGGAATGCAGGAGGGGACAGGCTGGGCAACGGAGGGTGTGTGTGAGCTAGTACTCGCCCCAGGAAATTACTCAGATGGGGGAGATCAAGTACGAAAAAAACCTCTTCCCACATCCCAGGTTTCCCTGGACTGTGTGTGTGTGTGTGTAACAGTTTGTATATATTACAACATTCTTGTGTATATATCTAATATGGAATTCACCTAGGCCCATTTATGAACATGGTACATCTCTGTGGATCTCGATGGTTTGTATGCAGCTGATGCACATCACACACATACACACATACACATCACACACATACACACGCATTTACTCACACTCAGTGGAGATCTTGTAAAGTGTGAAGGGGGAGATGTCTCTTCTCAGCCATTTGGGATTTGGATGCTGCACAACTGTTGGGGAAAGAACTGGCTTGGGGTAATGAGACTCCTTCCTCTGTTACCAGTTGACCCTCATTCAATTCAGGTGGCTCTGCAGAAATAGCCAAGCCTTGGGTTATCAAGACTCAGCACGGGCCTTCCCATCAGGATTGGGATTTGGAGACATAAATGTCACCCAAGTGCCCTTTAAACCTTTGGAGTTGGGGAGTCTGGGGCAGATGAAAAGATAATCTGGTGGGGAGTGGGTTTCTCTTCCTAGAAAAGCTGGACACCGTTTGAGAGCCCCCGGGCTGGGTGTAGGCACCAGCCTCGGGTGCAAAATGGTGGGACCTGCCAACTCTCCAGGGATCCACTCAGGTTGGTTGACCTGATGGGTAAGGTTGAGTGAGGAGGAGGGGCTGGAGAAATGGGAAGAGAGTTCTCATTCCCCAGTGGCCACTCCCATTCTTGGCAAGGCAGAAAGCTCCGGAAATAGAGGATGAAGGATGTGGATGGGTGGGAGGGACGAAGGGAAAAAACACTAGAAGTGCTTCTCAACCCTAGCCTCACATTAGGATCATCTGGGGGTACTTTTAAAAACACCCATGCCCAGGCTCTATCCCCAGATTCTGCTATAATGAGTTGGAGAGGGGACTGGGTATGGATGGTTTTTAAGCTCCTCAGGCATCTCTAATGTGCATGTGGACTTCAGAAGGCGGCACCAGAGCAGAAGGAAAAATCTAGATCCAAGGTGGCCAGGCTGCAGCTGACTGCCCCCCTCCCCCCCCGCCCCACGTGCACACAGAGCAGGGGAGGGGTTATGCTGTGAGGGGGAGGGGAGGGCGGGATGCTGGGAGCTTCTACTTGGACAGTTGACCCTCTTTCTGCTGATTTGTATGGCTTTATTGCCTCACTAGAGCTGGTGGTTTCTAACCCCACTTCTGGCTGAAAATCTGGTTGGGGTAGAAGTGTTTGGGCACAGAGAGAGAAATCCCCCCTCTGTTTTTTCTGTGGCTTCAGAGAGGAGTCACTCACTGTGCTCTCCAGGGCCAAGAAGACAGATTCCGGGGCTGGACGCCTCAAAGATGGGAGTGGGTTTTCTGCTGTATAATAAATACATATTTTATAAATGAATCAACCAGTAAGCAAGCCAACCAATAAACCAATAAATAAAACAATGCACACCATTTTTGCCCTCTTAGGGTGGCTCTCCCCTCCCCACATCGATCCTGGTGACATACACTTGCCCTTGGTCACCTGAAGACACCCAGCCTGGTCATGCCAGGGAAGCAGGACTGCTTTGGCCCTAGCTCCAAGGATCAGAGAAATCTCAAGAGCGTATCCACACTGGCCCCCCATGTGGAGAAGGGAGGAAAAGGGGAGATATGCATTCTCGCTGTTTCAGACCCAAAAGCGTAGGGAGGGAAGGCAAGAGTTTGGGAACCAAGGCTGGGCCATGTTAGGTGTCTGAAGTCCAGGCTGACCAGCTCTTCCTCCCTGGGCAGCTTCACTTTAGAGGGTCGGGGATGGACTTGAGATCTGGATGGACCCAATCTTTCCACACAAAAAGATACAGCAGACACAGCTCCCACTTCAGCACAGCCCGCCAAGAGCCAAGCCCAGCCCAGCCAGTCCATGGGGAGTGCTGCATGACCCGTGCTTTGGTAGGAGGGGGTACAGCTCACGGGATGGGAGGATGGCTAGGAGACAGAGAGAATGGCACTCGTTTTAATGGGAAATCAGCTGTCCAGGTCTTCAGCTTCTAGAACCACCAGCCATGGCTCATTTCCTCCTCTTTAGTCTCTGCCATGTGGTTCTGCTTGCTGGACGTGCCTTGTCCTACTAGGTGACCTGTATGTGGACATGGAAACATGTAAATAAGATGGGCATGAAGACAGTGACCAAAGAATGTCATTCCTTAAAAGCAGATGGTTATAATCTCGCTTTATAGATTTCAAGGGGACAACGACCCTGCAATTTTATGCGAAGTTATTGGGACTTATTTACCTATGCATTTCTCTGTAAAGATGGTCTATAGTATTTATGTGGGTCTTAAAAAATGATTAAAAACTAAAATAATATTAAGGGATTCCAGATCATCCATAGGTGTTACCCACCAGCAAGGCACAAAGGGATCTAAAGAAATGGGTGGGAATTCCAGATCCCCCACCCCCCTGCCTTGTTTTTCAGCATCTGAAGGCACAAGGAGATTTGCAAGACTCGCTGATTCACCAGAACCCTGTGGCTTACCCCATATTCCTGTGCCTGGGCGCACACTCCAACTGCACTAAAATTTCTCGAGTGTAGGTCTATACTACTCAACTTGAAGTTGTCAGTCAGTTTGTCTTTTTAAGACAAACTTGCTGCCACTATTTTTGTGTGTGGGTGGGTATTTGTATATATCACTTTAATAGTTATGGTCCTAAAGAAGGGGGCGAACTGAATCTTTCAAATAAAAAGAGTACTTTTGAATGCATGGAAGGAAGAGTTGCTCCAAGGTAAATCCAAGCACCAGGCATCCTCCTCTTTCTTCCCTGATCATTTTTTCTGCTTTGTGTCTTTGGATTTTTGATATACTGGCTCTGCTTACAGGGATGCACAGCAGAACGAGTTTCTCCAACAACAAATGAACACCATTGCATTTTCAGAATGTCTGCATGGTTTCAATTTCAGGAAGAAAACAAATCCCTGGTTCTTACAGAGGTTGTCAAATAAACTTGTTCCAGTTGTTTGAAGTTTGCAGACAACCACATTGTATGTACAAATGGGGACTTAATAGCCTATAAGCCATTCTAGAAACGGTTCCTCCATACACCCTGTACTCTAGCTGTTGTGCCCTAGTGTACCCAGTGCCTGTCCCCCGCCCCCTGCAGCGAGTGAGTGGTCAGATGCACTGAGAGTGCTAGGCTCTGCTGGCCCTTGATATCTTGCATGGCACAGAATGACAGACGTGGGGGATGATGGCGGAAGTTGGGACCTGACATGGGCACTTGTGTGCAGAAGCCTTGAGACAACCTCGGAGGCTGTGCGCTGCTCATGGACCATACTGGAGAGAAGCCTGTGTGCAAATGTCACATCATTGTGACAGCTGCTTTATATGACCATTATATTCATTATTATAATGTTCATATCTGTTAACTGTATTCAACTTACTATACAGTAAGGGTGCCTTTGGGTTAGCATAATTTTGGTACAGGAAATATTTTAACTGCATGGTTGAGTTTTATCTCTCAGTTTCCCCCAGGAAACTCTGCCAATGTGTTCTCACAAGCTTAAAAATTTCGGGGGGCTGACTGTGGCACTGAGAACAGGACTTCTTCCCATTTCACAGATGGAAACGTGAAGATGCCTTGCATGAGACCTGCATATTAAGGTCCATTCAAAAGGACCGGTCTCCTGGTCCCTGACACCATCCTGAGCATTTGAAGGAGGGAGCTGGCTTGGGAAGTGCCTCCTTCTTTCCTGAAGAGGAAAGGACAAGATCGTTTTGAATCCAACTGAGTTTAGAGCTGCTTATTTTCTCACAACAAAGGCCCCTATTTCCTTTCTGATGAATGTGCCCAAAAAAGGCATTTTCCTTTGTTTGGTTTTGTGAGTGACTCTTGGGAGCAGATTTTTTTTTTTGCTGTTTTCAGAAGACCCATGACATTCTTCAGGTGAGACAGCAGATGAGTCTTCAACCCTAAGGCATGTGTGTGTGTACGTGCATGTGTGTGTATGTGCATGCATGTGCATATGTATGCATGTGCGTATGTGTACATGCACATGTGCGTGTGTACACACATGTGCACATCCATGTACACATGGGGGTGCGTGTGTACATGCATGTGTGTGTATGCACACGCGCACTGCACACGAAGAACTAGGTGGTGTAGAGCCTAAGTCCCCGTTCATCTGATATGCATATGCAGGGCCCTTCTTTCTTTCCTAATTAATTAGAAGTAATAGCTTTCTATAGTTTCTGGTACGTGAGGGAGTGAAGTGGGAAATAATTTAATTGGCTGTCTTGCTTTCAAAGACCAGTTTAATGAAATAGTTCTCAGCCTGAAGTACATGTATTATCTTTCCTGTTATTTTTCCAATTAACATTTCATTGGATCATGTCTGTGTGGAATATTCTAATTGGTTTGGAGGGTGGGGGTGAGGGGACAAGAGCAGATGGAGAGATAACCAGCTGTTTCTCCCATCACCAGAGCCTGTGTATGTGTGGATGAGGCTGTAGGCTCTCCCTAGTGCCTTTCCTTGGAAGAGATCAAACAACACGACAGAATGCTGCTTGTCTCCTCACCCGTCCTCACCAAGTCCTTGGGCCGGAAAGGCATCTTCCCCTCACAGGCAGACTAAGGGAGCGCTTGTTAAACTTCTGGGGTTACTTGTGATGTATGGCACCAAAGGAGAGGATGAGTGGTGCCCAGAGCTTCCTGTGAGCATCGTCTCCCTCTGGGCAGGGGCTCTGTTTAGTCTGGCACATAGTAGATGCTCCGTATAAACACTTGCTGGGAGAATGAGTATCCCGAGGGATCTCACGGGAGCCACCCCTACCCTCCCTTCCTGTGAAGAAAGCAGCATGTAGACGGTGGCACAGAGCAGGGCTGGGAGCAGGGTGAGGGAAGCCAGGCATCCAGGGCAGACACCGCAGGGCGTTCGTGCTCAGCAAGTGCAGAGCCAGTCTTTGCACAAACCTGCATCAAGGGCCTTCTGAAATTTTTGCACCCTGGGCGCCTGGTTGGTTCACCCTCATCCTGAGCCTGGCCTGAGGCAAAGTATTCTGCCGTCCTTCCTGTCTCCTCCCTGTTCCCAGAGACATGGGGCATCAGCCAGCCTGAGACCAGCCCCCCATGTAGCCATCTTGCTGTTTGAATGCTTCGCATGCCCTGTCAGAGCCCCCCATGGTCCCCAGGGGTGTCCAAGGGCAGCTGGGCCACTGCTCTGGGTCTCGGCCTTCTCCCCTCAGCGCTGTAATGCCATAGCGTCTATTTTCCCTTCTCTCGGCATTTCTGACCCACACTCAGCGGCTTTAAGGACTGAGCCACATGTTCTGGGTTAGCTAAGGACCCCTGGGAGCCCGGAGGCAGAGGAGAGGCTCCTGCGTGTGGCCATGTGGACTGCTGCCCAGAGGCCTGGCTTCATATTTATCCCGGTGAGAAGAGCGGGTGGTTTCTCTTCTGGACCACTCCCCAGCTGGGCCAGATTACCTCTCTCCTCAGAGGGCCCATGATGCTGGGTCTGGCTGGGGAGGGGTGCAGCGGGGTATGTGGGGCCATAGGGAAGCAGTCCTGAGGCAAGCTGCGTGGCTGGTCCAGGTGGGGCCATGTGGAATGGGGCCACAGCAGGCAGGGTGGGCAGAGAGAGGGACCATAACCACGTATGCCTGCCATGTGGTGGGACAGCCTGGGGGGTGGAACATTTGAAGAAACATATCCTTTTATTTGCATACTCAGAGCCAGATCTGTAATGCAACCTCCAAACTGTGGTGTCCTAGCCAAGATCTGGGGCATCAGAAACTGTGTAGAGACAGGACAGTGGGAGATCCCCACCCCCAACACTATATATATATTTTCCCCCTCTGTATCAGTGGAAATCCACAGAAAGGTGTATGTGTGTGTGTGTGTGTGTAAAATTATTATTATCACCATTTACTGCCTCTGTATCTCTTGCCTGAGCTCACAACAGGAAAAGGGCCCCTGCCCCTGGCTGGCTTCTCTAGGTGGCTTAAACCAGGCAAAGTGTGCTGGGATTTCAAGTTTGGCCCAGATCTGATGTTCAGCCTCCTTTCCTTTCCAAAGGCTTCTTGGAGTTGCAGCTACAAATTCTGCCCAGAGCTGCTTCCTACAGGACTATGTAGTGGTCTCCTTTCTTTTCCTGACTGCCAGGGTCCAGGCCTCTCCAGCAAGGTGTTTGGGGGCAAGGGGGGGTTGGGGAGCTCAAAGCCCACCACCCTCCACTGAGGCCAGGCTTACTTGGCGGGCAGAGTGGGTTTCCCTGAAATGGTTTTGGGCTTCCTAGTAGATGGAACTTGAAATCGTGCAATTAGCTCTGGGCCTTGTGATTCTACCAATGTGACAATACCTTACAACAGGCAGCATGTTAGACATTTTGGGAGTGTTTCCAGACATCATCCCCCTGTGTCTTCCTGACTGTGATGTTGGCTGGGTTGTATTAGTGGCTCAGTTAACAGAAGAGCAAATGGAAGCCCAGGTGAATTAAATGATTTGCTCAAGGTCTAGTTCGCCAGCTGGATCGCAAGTCACGCTGAAGTCCTGGGCTCTGGCCTCCAACTTCAGAGCACCCAAAAGGGCCTCCCTTCCAATGAGGAATAGGAGAGAAATCACCTGAAGGCACAGAGCCTGGGATAGCTGAACCCAGACTCTTCCGGAGAGCTGATTCTGTCTTAAACTGCATCCAGGGATCAATCAAAAAGGATCAATTTCTGCATTCCTGAAAAGACACCCTCTCCTAGTTAGTCAGCCTTGCCCAAGGAACAGCAGTGGCTGGACAAACAGAAAAAATGCTTGCACTGAACGAAGGAGAGAATGTTCCATGAGAATGGAGTGCAGCCAGAAGACTGAAGCTCAACTCCTCTGTGCACTACTAACATTAGGGTGACCTTGGACAGGTCACTTGACCTTTCTCCTCAAATCCTTCATCTGTAAAATAGGGACATAGGGCAGCTCTTACTGGATCGTTGCGACAAAATGACAGAATCTCTGTGTCTGTGCTGTGTAAAGTGTAACGTACTAATCAAAGGGGAGTTGTTGTTGTTAACAGTAAGGATAGAAAGATTAGGCCAATACTAAGATTTCCTCTCTTCAACAGAACTCTTTTTTACTCTACGTAAAGGACAGGAAAAACCCTTTGTGAACTGTAAAGCATGGTATGCCTGGAAGGAATCGTTAGCAGGACTGAGGTTAGCAGTAGGATGCATCGTGGCAGGGAGCACGGCCCTGGCCCTCAGCTCCCCAGACACATTCCTGTAAAAGTGTTTGAGGATGGCCAAATAACCTTGGCTGTCCTCTGGCCACTGAGCTGGCAAGTCTCCTGTAGGCCTTCTAGAGGCAGATGTCCTACCGGGGAAACTGGAACCAGATGTACTCAAGATCTCAAAAGAAATTAATGGCAGTAAGACTCTGGGGTAAAAATATCTGTGTGCACTGAGCTTGCTCACTCAGCTCCCTTTCTATCTGAGGATCATTTAGGCTTAATTATAGAGTTCAGGCGTTCATTGGGTTTTTGATTAATTTTCTTTTCAGCTTGAGGAGTGTGTGAGTGTAGTGGGTCTGTGTGTGTGTGTGTGTGTGTGTGTGTGTTTACATCTTTCTTTGCAACACAGTTGGGAGCTGGCTCTGGCAATGTCTAATTGTGCCCTCAGTTCTAACAAGAACGTTCGATGTGCCAACCAGAACTCCGAAAGCCGTTGTTTGCACTGCCTCCGCCCCAGGGGCGGCTCCTGCCACATGGAGGGCTGGTGGCTGGCAGGGTCTCGCTCAGCTGGGACCTCAGCTGTGGAATGCATGCTTTCCTCCTCCTTTTGTGCTTATGGGTTGTTGAAGGGGCTCTGAGACCAGGAGAGCTGACTTCCTCCTCTACTAATGACCAGGGCTGTGCTGAGAGCTGCCAGATGACCGCAGCTCCCCCACCCTGCAGCCCCTGACAGACATTCTTGGGGGGCCAGTCTCCCCGAGGATTACAAGGTTCTCTGCCTAAGAAAACACTGTTCGTCCTCTTATTTTTAATACGTCCACTCAGTAGTTGGTAGGGACTACGTGGCCGTGGAGGGGAAAGTGGCATGCTTTCTCCCTTGCTTCCTTCTCTTTGGGTGCCCTCCAGGCAGGGAATGCGTGGGGAGGCCGCACAGTGCTGTGTCCTAGCATGGGATTTGGAGCCAAATGGCCCAGTTCGAATCCTAGCTCCTGACATTTCCTGTTTGTGTGCCCATGGATAAGTCACTTAACCCCTCTGGATCTCAATTTATGGTCTGTAAAATGGAGACAATAATATCAACAGCAAAAGTACACTCCCTGCAAGACTGTCTGGGGATGAGAAGAGGCATGTAGAAGCCTTTGGTAAAATACTCTATAAATCACAGTTCTCTTATTTTACTGCTCAGAATTGCTGCTCAGAATGCGATTTTGCCCTATGCCCTTATTCCTAGCACGAGGAGACGGGGTTGTAAAAAAGCCCAGGGAACGGGAGGTGGAGAGAGGACTAGCCTCCAACCTTCCCATGGGCTGTGAACCAAAGCACTGACCTGGGAATACAAAGTCCATGCTGCCAAGGGCCCAGATTAAGAGTTCAATATCAAACAACTGTCATGGGTAAGAGGGAGTCTGGAATATTCATTTTTTTGACATAACAGTAACAAAGATTTCACCCTATTTTTAAAAGGGGAAATTCAATTGCCTCTAGTGCTGGAAGGGTGAATGGTTCAGGGCTAGACGCAGGAGAGGACAGTGGGTCTCAGGTAAGTGTGCCCATCTGTGCTATGAGATTTGGGAGACCCAGGCTCTTCTCTTGGCTCTGTTGCTAATTAGGTCTGTGACCCTGAACAGACGAACTAATTTAACTGGACCTCAATTTCCTTGAGATTGCGGAAGAAAAGATCTCAAAGGTGACTACATTTAAGATCTATTACCTGACAAAATGCTCTTTCCCACACGGAATTAAAAGGTCTTGTGCCACCAGAAACCATTGCATTGTGTGTGTGTTCCGAATTAAGTATAGTCTCTTAAGTATATAAGACCACCCAACTAAAACCTGATCAAGGCACTGAATGAGCCTCTCTAAACTGATGGCCTCTGGCATCAGACCCCAGGGGTTCTCGGGGGAAGAAAAACCTGGTGGGAGGATGGGGTGACCCCAGTAGAGATTTCAAGGTGAATTCTCTCTTGCTGGAGAGCCTTTCATTTGGCAATATCCTGACTAAGCTGAAAGGTAACGATCTAAGGATCACAGAAAGAAAAGGGATTGTTTCCTTGCAAAACCACTTTAACTTCAAAATAATCAGCTGTGGGGCAATGGAGCATTCTGCCCGGCTCATTCCAGAACCGAGAGACCCAACTGCACAGCTCGCAATAGTATCACCAACAATAATCATAATGTATATTTTGCCCAAGGGATTTTAACTTTTATAAGCACTTTCCTCTCTATTTTTCTCATTATTACATAATTTTCCAGAAAACTGGCCAGGTCACTTCTTTTCAAACTCTGAAAAGTGCAACTTTTCAGCAGGAACAAATCTAACTATGTATGCTGCCCCTTGCTTTCTACAGATATGCCCTTGAAGAAGTTATGCTATACGTAAATGTGATTGTGGAAGTCATATCTTGTTTTAATGGATGGGCAAGGGGAATTTAAAAACAGAAATCTTGTACAGGATTTTGTAATTCAATGATCATTTCTCATTAATCAGTGGTTTGTTGCAATTTTGGAATTTTAAATATCAGGTTTTCTTAGGATAGGGCCACATGGGTTAGATTCCAGGATTGGTGTCCTGGCATCCCATCTAATTCAATCAGAGGGAGAGTTTGTTGTTTCAGATGTCAAAGTGGAAAATAGGCAGGTTTATTTCAGCCATGGAGCTCTTTGGAGCTCCCATAAAAAACAAGGAAGCATGGGAAGGACAGTGGAATCCAAATGTAACCGCTGAATTATTTTTAAATGGAATGTCTCTAGGTCTTCTGTGAGTCACTGATGTGTCATTAATGTGCTGTTATAAATAGCTCAGTTTGCCATCAATAACTAATCTGTAAGAGAATAGCTGGTGGTTGGGTGTGAGGTTAACACTACATGATTTCAAGTGGATCTGTTAACCCTCTCTTGTAAATAAGCACCATCCCCTGGGACTAGAACCTGAAAGAAATTAGACTTAATTGCATTTTAAATAAAAGTAATAAGAAAGTCCTCCTGCTTTTTCTTCTCCACTCTCAGACTGTGGTAGAAGACATCATTGAAGCCAACCATAGGACTGTAATAATTACTCTGAACTTCAACTCTTTCACCTCTGAGATTAGGCTGCCAGTATCCATCCACAAAATCTACAATGACATTGTGACAGTTTTAAAATTATTTTGCTTGGGGGATTTTGAATGAAGAAACCGTGTGTGTGTGTGTGTGTGTATCACAATTTGCATGATTGAGAATAAAAGGAAAGGCTCTTTTCTGGGTGATGTAAGCTAGAAGAGCTGGGAAAGTCCTTATTGTAAAGACTGGAAACTCTCTAAAACATTTGATATTGGCCTGACTAAAGGAAATATGGTCTCTCATCCTTGATGGTTGGATCTCAGCCATATAGTCTTGCACAATGTGAGCAGCTCAGATTTTCTTTAAAGAGCTCTGAAGTTAAACATTATGAGGCACTTCCTCACAAGTGCTCATGCAGTTAAAGTTGAGCTTCTGTGAAATCAAGCTAAAGTAAACATATATAAAGTATATGTACTGGGCTACAAGGACATATGTAGAGACTGCTGGCACATGTGTTGGTCATGCTATCAGCATCCTGGTGTGTATGCTTGCATGTGTGCATGTATATACATGTGTGCATTCTGTATGTTCACATCATTCAGAAGCTAAAAAGACGCCAAAAGAATGAAAATAGTATTCTTATTTGTTAAAATGTTCTCGAAATCCTACATGGATTCCATGGTTTATAAACAATTATGCTTTTGTAAATTTAGGGCTGGTAACAGGAACAGGATAAGCAGCTGTAAACAAAATCACAATTAATGTTTCACCAAAAAACATGGTGAAGTCCCCAAATATCATAGCTTCTGCAGAATACAGGAACTGTCTATCCAAATACTGTGATTAAGGATACTCAGAACAATCAGATTTTGGAAAGAGGTGGGTAGATGGAAGCATCGAGGCACCATCTGTCTGTCCACATCAGAACCCCGGACAGTTCCCAGGAGGCTCCCCTTCAGAATGGAGTGAATATCAATATATCTCTAGTTCTCTAAGTGTACCTTTCATTCCACTGAGTATGTTGAAGATCTGATTGTCTACTAATAAATTCAAGGTATTAATTTGTAGTAACCACTTATTTCTCCTTCTCCCCATTCTCTTTACCGCCCGACTTTCATTCCACCCCCTTCCCCGAGCACCCTCCAGTCAGACAGTGGGACTCTCTGTCTTACAAACACCTGGTGTAGATGTTTTCACTCCCACTTCTAATTGGTTGGGAAGCAGCATTTGCCACAGGCACTGTTTAATTTTGTTTCCATCCCCTGCATCTCACAGGAAAGAAATGGTCAGTAGTTCAGATAAAAGAATCATCCTGGTCAGCTCCAAAATATGGCTACTTGCATGGTAATCACAGCAAGTCTGTCAAATCAGTGATTTCTTTATTCCTAAAAGGAAGGGACTTTTCCTAAGGATTATGGTTCTACCACCCAAGAAGCAGCCCTACTCTTCATAAGTGGCTGCAAATGCTGGCAAACCAAGTGGTCTGCTTTGGCTCAGAAACTCAGTTTGGCTCCTGCCACCCCTGGCAGCCTCACTGCGTGTCATAGCGTCATGTGCTCCACACACAGTCAGGCCAGTCTGCTTCTACTTAGGAGGGATCACAACCAGAGGTGGTCCTCGCTTGGGCCTCCACATGAGGACCTGGGCATCGTTGGCATTGGGTTTCACTAGTGCATTGGGGGGGATGGGTTCCATCCGGCTCAGGATCCGGGGCTGCTCCTGCTGAGTCCTGCCCACCAGCCGGGCCCGTTGCCCCAAGAGCTGAAGAGGGTCCACCTCAATGTCCACCCTCATCCTCCACTTGATGGTCTGTAGAATGATCTTCTCCTTCGTGGTGGTATTCATGGCCACCAGCCAGGTAGTGAAACTTTGGTCCCTCTTGATCCTTGTGAGCAGTGGCACATTGCTGTCACTCACTGGCACTGCCCACGTCACACTTGGGTAGAAGTTGTCATTCATGCTGACGGAGAACCTGGAGATCTTGTTGGTGGGACCAACCAGGGTCACAGTTTCTGTGGTGTTCCCGTACCAAGGGTAGCTCACCCCATCTGAGTCACTGATGGCTTTTACTCTCCCTTCCCTCAAGTCAGGTAGTTCCCAGCTTGACCTGGCAAAGCAGAAGAGATGCACAAGAAAAGAAGAGGCTGAATGAATTTTTCAAAAGCTGGAGAGGTGCCCACCACTTACTAACACTGTCAACTTGGGCAAAATGAGAAGTTCAGAGGGGAATTCAGGTCAAAGATCTATGCTGTGCTGCTTCGGGATTAAGTAGGGACAAATCAAAACAACACAAAGATTAAAAAGCAATACCAAAACAAGTTAAATAAAATCATAGCTGGTCCAACTGGAAACAGGAAGCTCAGAGAGGCATTTGTGAGCCCCACAGAGGCATCAACTAGTTGAGATGGTGGAATTGTAATCAGCTGGTTAGAGGCATTCCAGTGCAAGAACCACTTTCCCGGGAAGTATGAGTTTGTAAGGTTTGTTTGTTAGGAAGAGGTGGTGACAATTTGATGTACTTAGAGGGAAGTATCAGGGGGAAAGGAGGGCAAAAGGAGGCAAACTTTCCCAGGAAATCACAGTAGTAGAATTTCTACTCAACAAAGAAAGTTGCTTAAATTCCAGTCATTGGCCAATCTAGCACTTGGCAAACAGACGTAGAAACTGATAACACAAGGAGATCATGGTCACCTTGGAAACCACCTCAATGTAAATGTTGTGCCATAGGCTGGCATACATGGTCTCTAATGTGCTGTTCTCCCACTGACTTCAGGTCCAGCCTGGAAGTCCAATTGCTTAGTTTAGCAAACCTGCCATTCTGGACACTTTGCTACTCCTCCTGGCTGCACCTGACTTTAGCCCACGTCTTAGCCCATGTCTCTCCCCTGTGCTCACCACTAATACCACCACCATCATCGTCATACTGATACTTATTGAGCACTTGCTCTATTCCAACAACTGTGCTAAGTACTTTAACTATGTTATCTCAGTTAACGTTCAACATATTCCACAAGATAAATGAATTTCTATTTCCATTTTACACAGGAGAGGGTGGAGTTTTAAAGATGTTCAACACCAAGGGTTCTACAGTTTGTAAGAGGTGGAATTGGGAATCATCTGCCTCCAGAGTCTATGCTTTTGACCACTATATTTTAGCACCTCCTGGTTCTGGAGAAAGCCAGAGTGGAGGAGACTCGGGCTGTCCAGTGTGATTGCAGCTCCCAGAACAGCCACAGGGAGCTGGACTGAACCCAAATAGAAGTAGAAGTTTAGTCAGCAGAGCCTGGCTACGCATTCTCCATATGTCCACTGCTGGGACTGGGAATGAGTCTCAGTGACAGTGCAGAAGAATTTAATAATTAAAAAAAAAATGAGATGCTCCACTCATCAGCTGAGACGTGGTAGCCTTGTTTGATATAAAGTTCCTCCTCTTATGAAGTGACAGAAGATCCTACAGGGCTTTATACGAATGGCTTAAGAGAGAGTTGCATTGTCAAGTTGATGCTAAAATGTCTCAGCATCCTTTACCGTCACACGGGGACATGGAGACACTAATTGCTGCCCCTGGCTGGCCCCCACAGCTCCCCCTGTGCTAGTCAGCCCCAGTCTGAAGAGAAGGGAAGGCAGGGCTGCCTGAGGAGGAGGTGGGCCCACAGCTGCAAGAACCTTTTCTCTTGTCTCCATGCCCCTGGTAACTGCTGGGCATAACTGAAATGTATCCTGATTGGCAGAGATGAAGAGGAAATGCCCTCATGTAGAAAGTCAAGAGAGCCCATTTTGCTGCACATGCTCATTGTAGCTGTGCTGACCAGTAGCTCTCCGCGATAATGCTACAGCTCCCCAATAATGCTACAGCCATTCCTTACTGTACAGAGGGGCATAAATGTTGTTTGAGTGGGATATAATCATATACACATCAGAGGTCAGGTGAGACCCAATCTGCTTGTTGGGTTTATGAAATAGACACACTGGAGTCAGCTTCTTGCCCCCAGCCAAAGTGTGGAGACAATTATTAAGTCACCAGGCATTTACTTTCTGTGTTGCCTCAGCTCTGTTCTCCATTTAGGTTACAGTGACCAGGCCTGCTTTGGGTTCTTTTGGTTCCTTTGTGGGACGGGAGGACAAGCATTCTCAGCAGCAGAAAATTGTACTTGTTCTCCTGTCTAGGACACTGTGCCAACTGAGGCACATTGGTTGGGGAATTTTTCATTCTGGTTGATTCTTGGTTTTTGATTCTGTTGTAACACTGTCCTTTTCAGGACTCGCTATCTTGCTGGTCGATTAAGATATGTTGTCTATAGAGTCTTCACAGTTCATATTTTTGCCCTCACCTTCCTGCCTAGAGTTATGTGAGCAGACTTAAGCCCAGGGTTCTAGAGGTCAGTCATGTGAGAAATTTACAAAGCTTAGTTTGGTCCCAGATTTTCTGCAAACAGAGATAATACAATAAAGTTGCACTCTTGTGCCTGTCTTGGGAGAGAAGGAAGATACCCTTTTCTTGTAGGATTCTGTGGAATAGAGAAATAAAACAAGCTTCTTAATCATCACATCAAAACAAAGGCACCTGGCTGAGTGTAGCCAATGGGCATGGTGACCTTGGTAGGCTGCGTACTCATCCATCCACATTGCTGTGACTTCTGACACTGCTCTATTGGAAATCCTTTGGGTCTGAGGCATGTTCTCTCCCACAGCCCCAGGGACTGAAGGACTCCATCATTAAGGGAAGGTTTGATTTTGGGTAGCCCCAAATTCATTATGACGAAGTCTAGTGGATAGGTTTCTTTTTCAAAAATATAATATTTTTCTTTCTTTTTTTTTTTTTTTTGCTTTCTAAGGTAGTGGCTCTTTTTCTTTTCCCCCAGGAAGAGTTATGCCTATACAATGCATGACTGGTTTATGTAGCTGATAAACTGGCTTTGGTAATGATTTTTTTTTAAGAGTATTTATTTATTTACTTATTTGACACAGAGAGAGAGACAGACAGAGCACAAGCAGTGGGAGCAGCAGAGGGAGAGGGAGAAGCAGGCTCTCTGCTGTGCAGGGAGCCCAACGCAGGGCTCGATCCCAGGACCCTGGGATCATGACCTGAGCCGAAGGCAGACGCTTAACCACTGAGCCACCAGGTGCCCTGGTAATGGTTTTTAAAGAAGTCCCTGATAAATTCCAAGTGTGATAGTACCCTGGAGTCACTCTCTGACCATTTAAGAGGACTACTTTGAATGGGATGCTGGAGGCACTTCAAATTCCATATGTCCCAAAGTGAACGCACCACCTCCAGCATACACTTGGCCCTTTCCCCCTTCTCTGCCAGGGGTGACCCACTGCTCACCCAGTCTTCTAGGCCAGAAGTAAGGGTTATCTTTGGCTCCTCCTATGCCCTCCCCTAGACTGTTTGAGCTATTGCATCACTGAGTCCTATGAATTTTGCTCCATAAGTGATGCTTGAATTTATCTCCTTTTCTCCATCCAGCTGTCACTGCCTTCATTTAAAGCCAAGCCCTTAGCATCTCCCACCTGGTCTACAGGGAATGGCATAACTGCCCTCTCTGCTTCCAATCCTGATCCCTTTCAAACTGATCTTTTAGCTGCACTGGTGTTCAAACACACAGACATGATTCTGTCCTTTTTACACCTAACACCCTACAAAAGCATCATTGGCATCACCCACATGACAGGATTCAAGTTCCTTAATATATGGCCCTCCATGGTCTGGCCTCCCTACCTCCACACACCATGCTGTTTTAACCTCTTCCTTTTTGCTCATGCCATGTCTGCTGCCTAAAGCACTCTTTCCCCTGCTACAGTCTCACTGGATCTAATCACTCATCCTTTGAGAATCATTACATGTATCACCTCCTTCAGGAAGCCTTCTTTTCCATGCTCCCATGGATATATCCAGCTCTTTACAGCTCTCAGGTTATATTATAATTATTTGTTTATATGTCTGTTTTCTCCATTAGATTATGATTTCCTTGAGGCTTGGGATTGTGACTTATTTTTGAATCATTAGTATCTCACACATTGTTGGCATATAGTAGATCTTAATACATTTTTGTTGAAGGAATAAATATTTTATTTGAATCACTTTCATGCCTATCTACGTGGAGCTTGGTAGAGCACAACAAAGTGCTTTATCACAGTTTTACCTTTTATATATTCCCTCACCTTTAAAAAAAGACTAACATCTACTATTCATGTATTCTATTATTAGAATAGCACCATGCTTAACACTGAAAGTTATTTATCCTTGAGGGGGAGGCAGACAAGCCACACACAAATAAAAATGAATGAACTGGTGAATATAAATGTATTTAGTGACGGTTCATGCCATTATATACCTACATACAAAAGTGAACGACACAGACTCCGAGTGATACAGGACGTTGGAGACATGGACATCCATGCTGGCTATAGGGGGAGAGCTTTGTGGAGGAAATGGGATATGAGCTGTGGAGAACAAAGAAAGGCACACCCTGGTGGGAGATTCCACCATGGGCAAACATGTGGCCTTAAGCATGAACATGGAGTGTCCAGGAAAGAGAGGGCACCTGGAAAGTAGAGACAAGGCTGGGTGGGCAGGGCAGAGTCAGTCTGTGAAGTAGCCTTTAATAATGGGCTTAGGCACTGGGCTTCATTCCAGGGGTGGCGGGACTTTTGAGCAGGAGATGATGTGCCAGGAAGAAGGATGATGTAAGAAGGAGAATTAGAGGGCCAATGGGAGGGAACCTGGATGTTTAGGAGCTTTTGCAACACTGTGGGTGATCTTTAATGAGGCTTCCAGCTAGGCTGGAAGGAATGGAGGGGAGGGGATGCTGCAAAAGTAGGTACTCTCTGGCTTGGTAACTGATTGCCTATCAGAGACAAAAAGAAGGGATAAAGTAAAATAACCAGAAGAGCCACATACAGTTGACTGGTGTGTGTATCTGTCTGTGTGTGTGTGTGTGTGTGTGTAAAATCATTCTCAGAAGTAACAAGGTGTGGTCTCACTGCCTCTGACATTCCACACCCATCCCTGGACCCACCCACAGTGGTATTTCAGGGTGCAAAGCCCTGACTCCTCCATGAGGGAGTAAAGATGGAGTCATGTTTGTCTTTGCATCTTTCCCC